GATGGATGGATGGATGGATGGATGGATGGATGGATGGATGGATGGAATGCTTCATCTTTTTTGTTTTTCTAATTTATAACACTCACCTGCAGAGGAGAACTCACCATTATTAATGTGTAAAAGTGTGAATGGTAGGAAAATGTGACAGAGATGCAGCTGTGAGGGGAGCTGGGAAAGTGGGGGTAAAAAAAGGAGCATTATGTCTGAAGTGCATCAAGGCCAAGAGGCACAAGAGTCCATTSAGCCCAGGGGGATGAAGGTCAGAGCAGAAGGACATCACACCATCCTCCCACACAGAGCAGAACAGAACACAGCCCGGYTCTGGGTCTCAGTAAATACTCCCCTTCAAACTAAATCACATCACTTTTCATTTGATTCTCGTTTATTACATCATGTTGATGGAGGATCTTTTTTCATCCTCATTTCTGTTATTGTACTGAAAAGGACACACATCATCATCATCATCATCATCATCATCATCATGGACATCAAACTGTGAAAAAAAACCTCCTTGATGTAAGAACCAGTTTCATGCCTCGCGTTTTATTCCCTATAAATATTCAAAGCAAGAAAAGAAAACGGGRCATTTATCAACTAAAATCTATAAAAGCCAGTAAGGCAGGGTATTTCTCTAAGCCTAATAATCCCATTATGATCCCAATGAAAAAAAAAAAAAAGAAAAGCTCTCAGTCAAAGCAGGGAGCATTGACGCAAGCAGGSCTTGACGTCAGCGGCTGCAGTGAATGAGGGATTGGAGGAGGCGTTGGGAGGAGAAGCCTTCAGAAAATCCCAGCCTCAGAAAGCATGAACGCAGCTGCGCTTTGCTGCAGCGGAACCGAGCTTTTCCTGAGGAAAAAACCCACAAATATGTCTGATTCAAACTGGAGCAAGGTGCTGCAAACCTAAACCAGACTGGCTGTAAACGATTCCCCTGACCCATGAAGAATAAACCAGCATGAATGAAGCTCAGCTGTCAGGAGAAACAATAATAATAATAATAATAATAATAATAATAATAATAATAATAATAATAATAATAATCCATACATCCTGGATGTGAGTTCTTTTGTTGTTGCTGCGCCGCCAAAAATCCCCCCCACCACCCCCACCCCATCTGATTCTAATGGAGCAGTTTGTAAAAGAGCCAAACTGGTGGCGTCATCCCCCTCCTTTGTAGTACGCACGAGAGTCTGCTCGCGCGTGCATTGAAAGCTTTTTATCCCCGCAAGTCAACTCGTGGCTCCTGTCCGTCCAAAAGACTCACAACCCACCCCTCAAAAAAAGGACACACAATGCCTGTTTGTTCTGTCCTTCTGCAGCTGAAACTGTTCGTGCGGGACGACTCGAAGTGTTTGATGCTTTCCGACCAGAMGCGCGCGCTGCACGCTCACCACCGGCGCGTCGGAAGCGGAGCGGCTCCGGTGGTCTCGCGCCGTGGAGGAATCTTTCCAACAGCTGGTGCSGCGGAGCGTTTCCTTCCTGCCGCTTTGCGCGGAGCTCAAAGGTCGCCGGAGCGCGGAGACTGAAGCGGAGCGCGCAGAGTTCCCGGTGTTTCGGCTGTGCGTCATCCCTGATTAGACTCGGAGTCTGACGTCGTCACGTTCAAGTAGAAAAAAAGGCAATCTTATATTTTTAAAAACAGAACGTGATCTTCATTTTTTTTTTAGAGAGAACACCTCCGCAGTGACGAAAATCACATTTTTGTTGTCTGACAGCAACAAGTTGGATCAACTCTGTGCGTAATTTCCATCAGATCAGAGTTTAATCTGCGCCGCACGTGATCTAATAAAAAAAGCACCTCAGCTGCAAAYATTTTTCAACTGGTAGGAAGTGAAACAAACCTCCAGACCTCCACAGGACCGTCTTGGAGCACCATCTTCCTGCGGGATCCGGGCTCCAGGAKCCGGACTCAGCTGCGCTCCGTGCGTCTCCACGCCGCCGCTTGGTGACWTCGCGCGCACCTGTCGCTGAAAACCAAAAAAAGGGGGAGCATCGCAGAGACGAGATCTGAATGAATTGTTCACCTTGCTCCCGTCGCCTCCCCCGGACTGTTGGATGTGTTTTATATCCCGGCGGCTGAAGAACGCGTTGCCAGCAGGTCTGTCGGCTCGGCGGTGGATCCGGGGTCACCGGGAACAGGGAGCTGCACATGTCGAAGAAACGAAAAAGTCCTGATGACCGGGGCGAGCACGAGTCTCTGCCGGCAGGAGGCAGCGAGCAAGGTGAGCCCCCCCTGCGCGCACGTGTGCGTGATTGGCTGGAAARTTCCTCAATTCTTTTATTCCTGCGGAGAATTTCATTTGGAGCAGCTGTTTGACTCATTTAAAAACTGCTGGAGGAAAGTGACACAAGTCACATCTTTACAAAAAAACACACTTCTGCAACACTTTTTAGTAAAAGACACATTAGTCACAAAGAAGTGAAACAAYAATAGTCAGATGTTCCGTTCAAAAATACCAGTTTAGGAGATGTTGTGCCTAAATTAGTCATAAATATGGATACCTGCTTGGAGTTATGATTCTGCAGGAAACAAATCAGTTAATGAAGAAATGCTTCTTCAGCTTGAGATGCACAGATATGATGAACTCATCAGTTTCTTTATTCTCTTTATAATAAAGCACATAAACAGAGAGCTGTCAGAAAAGAGGTCAACACGAGGTTTGAATAACTGATTTTTAAGCAAAAAAATTAAAATAGTTGTAATTGTTTTTGGTAACTATCTGATGACAACTTCATCAGTTTACGTATGAACACAAACTCATCAATGAGCTGTGAATTTATAGTATTTAGTAGTAATCATAACTGAGTCTGTTCTGGGAGTTCCTTTGGATTCCACTGTTTGGGTTCCTAGAATTTAAATTTGTGCTGCTGAAGATTACTTTATAATCTCTTCTTCGTCCCAACGGAATCACGTTTGCGAGACAAAATGTTTGGTTTTAGGACAAACTTGGATTTGTAGCTGCAGAGTGAATCCCAAATCCAGAGGGTGAATTAGGACTGGGAGCTCAGTCTGATCCAAAACTCAACTCAGTGTTGAAGAAGCACCTGCTGATTCTGTAATTCTATTTAAAAAATACGATAAAATGTCAGTGTTTGTTTTAACTCTCGTTACGAGGGCAGGATTTCTTTTGTTTGTTGGATTGATTGCTCATGAATGCTCACAGCTTGTTCATAAACAAGAAAATTCTGTGAATACTGGAATTTCATTTTGGCAAGTATTGTTTTTTATTATTATTATGGAGTTTTGTCCAAAGTCTGCAGAATCTAAGCTAAAACTTTTGATTTGTCTGAATATAAACTTTCTCAAATGAGCAAATGAACCTAGTTCTGAAAAAAAAAAACATTCTGTCTGTGTAATCCTGCAGACACAAGGCTTTATTCCTTTTATCTCAGGGTGATAAATTATTCTGCATCACTTCAGCAACCAATAAAATGGCTTCCTAAAAACCCTTTTAGTGTCGTACGATAATGACTTTGAACTCAAATCATATTGTTTCTTAATCCTAACAAGTCATTTCTACCTAATCCTAACCAGAGAGCCGTGCACCAAACAAAGCAACACAAACGGCGAGTCTGCTGCAGGTCCATTTCAGATTAAACATGTGACATATGGAAGTTTTAATCCAGTCAGATGAACACAGAGGCTTATAGTATAAAAGTAAATATAAATCTGTATCGTGCAATTCATGTCAGAGTAAGGCAGGCCATTTTAACATAAAATCAGCTTCGCCTGACTATGATTAAATTCTAGATATCTAAACATGAGTTTGGACTACAAACAGTGATGCATTTTCCTTCTGATTAGTTAGAACAATTCAAGATGTCAAAAATGTCATCACCGGATTCATCATTTGAAGGGTCACGCATCTGTAATTACAATTTAAGRTTTCTGTATTTATGAGCTGCAAATGACATTGTTCAATATGTAAGGTAAGAAATTACTCAGATGCTGCCATTGAGTCGTCCAAACAGATGCCTGCAGAATTTTGTGTGGCTGCAATGACAGACAATAGATTATCTGTGTTTTGTAATTCATTTGGAGCACAAGCTGCAGAGATAAAAATCATGTTTAAAAACACAAGAATTTGAGTTGGACTGATCTGACAACATTAGGTTTTAAATTAAAATATAATTAGAGATATATAAATGAACAAATATGATTAGTTATGAATCATTATTTCAGAAATCTGGAATGTTTTGAATCCGATTTTAGGTTAAAATGGCCTGCCATATTGAGACCAGGACCAAACCCACAGCAGCTGGAATTASTTTTTTTCTTTTTCTGCATCCATGGGTTGTTTTCAGTTTATCCTTCAATCCAAAATTCAAACATTCCTTCTTTTCAAGTGACAGATTCAGGATTACGTCCAGAAACAGTGSAGCTGCTTTTTTTTCAAGGTTCAAGGTCAAAAAAAGCATCACCTTCAAACAGGGACTCAGTGCAAAAGAACTGGACCACAGAACCGGCTTGGATCAGGACCCGTGTTGTGTTTTTTAATTGGGTCATATTACACAGGTCTATTCATTAAGGTGGTTGTTACATTGTTTAAAATGTGAAAAATCACATCTTTAATTAGTCGTTCAGTTATATTTTTAACAAAGTGAAAATCTGATCAGCTCTAATGAGCTGCGCTAAAGTAAGGAGCTACTGGTTAGCTGTTAGCTGAGGTTCACTGGCAAATACCAAAGTATCAATCAATCAATCCATCAATCAAACTTTATTTATAAAGCGCTAYAACATCAGCCACTGCTGAAACAAAGTGCTGAACGCATGAAATAAAAACTGAATACAAAAACATGATAAAATCACACAGTTAAATAAGTAAAATCAGCACCAATRCAGTAAAAGTTGAGTAAAATCAAATCTCAGTTGGGTTGAAGGCCAGTGAGAAAAAATAAGTTTTTAAACGAGTCTTAAAAATGGACAGTGAAGGGGCCTGTCGGACATGCAAGGCGTTCCACAGTTTAGGGGCACTAACAGGGCCCTACCTCCTCTGAGCTTCTGTTTAGAACTGGGAATGACCAGGAGCAACTGGTCAGCAGACCTGAGTGACCGAGGACGGGTGTAACGGTGAAGAAGCTCTGTTAAATAGGTTGGGGCGAGGTTGTTTAAAGCCTTAAAAACRAACAGAAGGATTTTAAAAYGGACTCTAAAACAGACAGGCAGCCAGTGGAGGGTGATGTGCTCTCTTCTACGTGTTTCTGTTAAAAGACGGGCAGCAGCGTTCTGCACCAGCTGCAGATGTGCGAGGGATGACTGGTTTACTCCAAAATAAAGTGAGTTACARTAATAAAGTGAGTTACAGTAATCCAGTCGAGATGAAATAAAAGCATTGACCACTGTTTCAAACTGTTGCCTTGAAAGAATAGATTTTATCTTTGCTATTTTTCTCAGGTGATAAAAACTAGATTTAACTGTCGCCCTTATTTGACTGTCAAGTTTAAAATCACTGTCCATCTTAAAACCAAGGTTTGTAGCTGTGGGCTTGACATACATAGCCAAGGGGTCTAAATCCACTGGAGGACTCGGGCATGCTCCACTAGGTCCAAAAACAAGTATCTCGGTCTTTTTTTCATTAAAATGCAAGAAATTTAGCGCCATCCAGGCTTTAAGATCATCGAGACATGCTAAAAGAGATTTAATRGACCAAGCCTCAACTCGCCTTAGAGGCCGTCGTCAGCGTAGCAATGGAAGGAGATGCCGTGTTTTCTAAAAAATGGAAGCCAAAGGCAGGATGTACAGAGAAAAAAAGCAAAGGCCCCATAATTGAACCCTGGGGAACCCCACATGACAGAGGAGCAGAAAAGGATTCAAATCCTGCAATTTTTACTGAAAATGTTCTGTTTGCCAGATAGGACCTGAACCAGTCCAGGGCAGTGCCACTGATGCCTACCTGGTGCTGTAGACGCATCAACAAAATGCTGTGGTCTACTGTATCAAATGCAGCGGTTGAGCCCAGTAAAACAAGAATAACATGATCACAGAGTCACATGCCAAAAGAATATCATTATAAACTCTCAGCAGGGCTGTTTCAGTGCTATGAAGAGTTTTGAAACCCGACTGAAACACRTCCATGAYATTAYGTTCGTCCAGGAAGGATTTTAGCTGCACGTAAACAATTTTTTCCAAAACTTTTGACAATAAAGGTAGCTTGGAGATGGGCCTATAATTCCCCAGTACAGCGGGATCAAGACCAGGTTTCTTTAACAGGGGGTGCACCACAGCATGTTTAAAATTAGCAGGAACTACACCAGATAACAAACTACTGTTAAAAAGGGCAAGAACTAAGTGCCTAAAACAAGGGAAAAGTAAAGCTATTTAGGGCCTGGACAAAGTCAAGACCAAGACCAGAGTGGGGAAAAAACAGTTCTGTAAAAGATGGATTAATATGTAGAGCTAATAATGATAAAATCTGCGAGGGCCGAGAAAATAATTTTGCCACAGAGGCAGATCGCTAACATTAGCTAACGTTTGCCTTCTTCTGGATATTGTTTTACAAATATATTTTTTTATGATTTTAGTAGCCGAACTGTATTCTTGAAGATTTTGCAGACATCTTCTCACGCTCCCAGAGAAATAGTGCTCACTTTTTTTTGAAGGGAGTGCGAGTGAACAGGGGTTGGGATGGGTGACATCGCTAACAAAAATACACAAACAGCAATGAGTCCGGATTGATTTGACTCAGTGTGTTTTACATCAAATCAAACAAGAATATTAACAAATTCAACAACATTCTGGCTGTTTAGTGATATTTCCACAGTTCTTGACTGTTTGAGACGGAGACAAGACCAAGAC